TTCTTTCTTGCTCATCTTTTTCTTCTTCTGCCTCACCATTCAGCCTTTCTCTTTGCTCACTCTTATTTCCATCCCATCCTTTCTTTGTCTCTTAGCAGTTTAGGTGTTGGTTAGGGAACATCTGGAACCCAGTGACTGAATATGGTGTTGCTACAGATTTGAATTAATCATCATTTTTTAAAATTTATTTACTTTATTGAACTTCTTTCCCTCCCATCTAGACCAAAGGTCTACGCTGGGCGGCAATGATTATGATCAAGGATCCCCCTAAGCTGGGCACGTATGCGAATGACTCCGCTTCCCTCTGTGCAGCTATCTTCCTCCTCCACGAAGTGATTGTGTTACGTTCTGATTGTGATGGAACCCAGTGCACAGGGGGCAGAGTCACACACATATGCAGGGGTGAAGCTGTGCGCGAGAGGCGGAGCCCCACCCAGCAGGGCTGAAGATTAGTGGGTACATTGATCATGATCAATTAGGTGTCTAGGCTTCAGGATTCTGGAAACTGATGGTCGCATATAATCCTTTATTATTATTATTACAAATAGCTGGAATGGGTGAGTTATGTGCAATGTTTAATGAAAAGTGTGTTCCCAGATCAAGGAAAAGAGTAGGTATAGAGACAGTATTCTCAAGTTGACTTCCTTTTTATTTTTGTTTATTAGCATGAAACGAGCGGCATCACTGAACTACCTGAATAAATCCAGTGAGGATTCCTTCCAGGTAAGAATACCATTTGCTTTGTTCCCCCAGACAGCACAAAGTAAAGTCTGTTTACCAACACTCAGTTAAAGTTGCAAAGATCAGGTAGGGCTGCAAAAGGGATCCTTAGCTTATTGGACCTATCCAGATCCCAGTTGTTAGTCATTGGCCCTGCTGGCTGGGGATGATAGGAGTTACACCCCAACACATTCAGAGTGTGAGAAGTTGGTTAAACCAGTCATCAAGGAAGACATTTGTGAGAAAACCCACTTAAGAAATAGTTCATGTGGTCCAAAATCCTCCATGTAATTTGGCTTGATAGCACTTCATGGGGCGCAACTGCAAGCAAGATGTATTACACCAGTTTTGTGCTTAATGTTTTCTGAGATAAAGACAGCTTCTAAAACTGCCTGTGAACTGGATGTTCAAAAGTTATCCCATGGGTTTGTAGGGAATGTGTTGTGTGCTATATAACAGGAATGTGAAATATTGCAAAAAGCATGCATGTTATCGTGACACTTGCACACTAGAGGAGCAACAGGGTCATCAGATATGAAATTGTGAGCCTTTTTGTTCAAGGGCAGGGGGAATTTCCAGCTCTGGCCTTTTTTGGTGTCACTTGAGAAGTTTGCCTTGATAAGATCAAAAACTAACTGTGAGACAAGATGTTTTCATTTTTGACTCTCAGTTATCAGAAGCTAATGAGACTTTGTTTTTCAGGATTCCCAAGGCCTCCGGCCCGAGAGCAGAGGCTTTAGCGCAAGCAGCGTGGATCTCCCCTCTCACACCTCCTTGGTCAACTCCAACTGAATTGACCACTTCCGCCATCTCTGTGCCCCACTTCAGAGGCTGACTGCTTCCACACATAACGAAATTGCATCTCAGGTCAACCACTGCCTTGGATCTTTCAGCTAAAACCTCCTCATGTCTTAGAACTCTTACTGTCTCATGTGTCAATTATATATATATATAAGTACCATGGAAGATATGAGCACTTTGTCACAGGGGAACACTAAGCCACATCGGACCACTGCTAGATTAGAGTGGGGAGCTCCTGTCCCCTCTCTATTTTCTGTAAGCTTTGGCTAACACACTCGCCATCTGTTTTGCAAGTAGTTCTTACTCAAAGCCCTGGTCACCGGACCACTGCTAGATTAGAGTGGGGAGCTACCCTCCCCTCTCTATTTTCTGTACGACTAATAGCTTTGGCAAACACACTCGCCATCCGTTTTGCAAGCTCCGTTTTGCAAGTATTTCTTGCTCAAAGCTCTGGTCATGCTGAGCTCAGGTACAGAGTCTAACCTCTTCCTTAATGTGGACCCTTTCTACTACCACGGGGTACTGCTGAGAGGAGTTCAGCTCCAACTGGGCTCTCCAGCTGGTTTATTCACTCCTTCAGTGCCTGTTCCCAGATCCTATTGCTGGTAGTCCTTAGGCTAGTATCACCTCCTTTTGCACTGTACAGTCAGTCTCCTTCTTGTCGTGGTTTATTGTGAGATGCCTCTCAAATGAGTATCTTTTGCTTCTGAAAGTGTGCTTATAAAGCCAAGGCAAAAGGGCGCAGTCACAAGCATTTGAGGGAGCATTTATTTTTGTGTGACTAAAATAGGTGAGCAAAGTTTGGCCCTCTGGATATTTGACTGCAACTCCCAGCAATCCTCACCACCATCTAGGGCAATTGGGAGTTTAGCCCAATCAAGTGGGGCGGGGTGGATGCTTTGCCCAACTGTGAGCTAAGAGTGAACTTCACAAGAGATTTAGTATGCATACACTCCGCACTACAAGCCTTTCCCCCTCTATTCTGGATTTGTTGCCTGTTCCTGCCTACAACAAACAAGTATGCAAAGCAAAGGCAATGTTTGCAAACAGGCCTGTCGTAAGTCTTGTAATATTCATGATTCACTTCTGATTGTTGTTGTCTTAATTTAATTAATAAAAACATGACCACAGAAACTAACTTGCCAAAAGGAAATCTTAGCCATTGAATCACTTTGACGAGGAACCAAGGAAAAGCACGGCTACCTGAACTCAGAAACACCATTGTTCTGGTGCATGCGCGTGTGCACACACACACACAAGGGGGAGGAACAGCTGAGCACATAACCACTTTCATCATAAAAAGAAAATTGTGTCAAGGCAAGTGTAAAGTCCTGAACATAGAAAGCAGCATTATACTGACCAAAATTTTATTTCCTGTATCTGCCACAATAAGTGCAATAGGATAAATTGCAGTGGTGAATTGCTGTTAGTTAAGAATTGCCACTTGTATTCCTCATCATGTCCCATTTGTGTGATTTGGTATGTGATGAGGAATACAAGTAGTGACTTCTTAGTTAGTAGCAATTTGCCACTAGGATGTAGGGTGCACAATAGAATTCTGCCACTAAATCCAGAGCTATGGATTCTACAGGGGCTTTTCTGCTGTAACTCCCAGAATTCTCCCATTAGGAAGGGGGGGAGGAAAGTTACTTGGGGAGGGGGCTCCAGGAGTTTTAGCCAAAAAAGTTAATACTGTTGGTCCAGTATTAGCTGCAGCTCCCTTCAGTCTGAGGGTGCTTCCATAGAAAACATGGTTGTCTGCAGGATGTGTGGCTTATTCGGGATGCTTGTCTTCTCCCACATAATCTTTTTTTAATGTAATGTACAGAGACAGATAGGCATTCTAGCCACCTAGAGAAAGTGATCACACCCATGGGGAGCACGGCTGCCAGACTCAGACTTTGCACTGTTCTGAAAGAGAACTTTCCTGTACCAGCAGGCAACTCTGACATACGCTTTTTAAATCTAATGACTTTTTAGAGGGCCCCATACCCCAACATTTTTCCTTTTAAAAGTGTTTTTAAAATACAATGTTGCCCACTAGAATAAGCAAATCCCCCCAATTTAATTTTTTTAAATCAAATTCAATTTTTCAGTTATTCAAAACCCACTGTAGCAACCTTAATAGTACATAATTGCTGCGTTTAAAAAAATAGGCTAATTAAACAGGCTGGTCCTCTCCCCCCATGGGATTGCTGCCCTCAGGAATTTGGCAAATCTGAAAATTTGTCTTTGGTCCAGCTGGGGTCACCCACCCTGAGCCTGCTGAGTCTGTACAGCAATGTTTCCCAGCCTGGAGGCCAGGACCCCCGGGGGTGGTGGTCACAGAGTGTTTTCTGGAGGGTCGCCGTATATGTGCTGTAGTCCTTAATTAATTTCTTCCTTGAGCTTTTCGAGCCATATATTAAAGTAGTGTATATATGTATGTATGAGAAACAAGACTTCGAGAGAGAAAGAAACCTCTACTTTGAGAAGGGCTGGCTACCTCATTAAAAATGCCTTTTTGTGCAATTGTCAGGTTGGGGTATCACTGATTGCTTGCCTATTATATATGACAAAAAAAGACTGGGAACCATTGCTGTAGAGAGTTCACCCATGTTTTCCAGATAAAGGAAATGCTAGAAGATGGAGAATCTTTTCCTGACAATCTTGCAAGGTTTCCAATCCTACCATAAGGGTGAGGGGCCATATGTTTTTAAAATGGCCATCACTTCCCATCTACTTTTTGTAGGCAGTGAGTGGAATTTAGTGATGCCTCGCTTCCTGCATAGGTGCTACCAACTTCTGGGAATATTACATATTGACTTTGACATGTCACTGACCTAAATGGTAAGGCTCAAAGTGTATGGACCATACATAAATGTGCACAGCCGGATGAAATACGCTGTTGTGCTATTAGACAGCTTGGTCTTTCCCCTGGGAAAGTTTCCACCTTTGCTAGTCGAAGCAGGCTTCAACTGCTTCCAAATTAAAGGCGCGGTGTGGCTGTTCCTTCTTTTTATCCCTATTAGATTTTTCTCCAATAAGAGAAAAAAAGGGAGGAAACCAGGCTGCTGCTGATGACAACGGCAGCTGATCTCCCCGAAGGCTGCTTGAATGGCATCATCCGGACAGGGTCACCTTCCAGCTGTCCCTCAAATGCTTGGCCATGGGGACTGGGGGTGACGGGGTTGCAGTCCCGATACCTGCGGGGCGCAGCTGGCTGGGGAAGGCAGGGCGAGGCCCCTTCCCTGTCCTGCTGCCTGGACTCCTCTTTCCAAAAGCTTTAGGCACGGGATCTGAAGATTAAAACTCAAATAGACAATAATGTACGTGTTGCTTCTCCCACCGCCGCCCCGCATATGGAGAATCCTACCAGCTGGAAAATGGAAACCGGAAATGGTGGCAACAGAAACCGATGAAACCCAGGTGGTTCCTCAGAAGAAAAAAAGGGGAGGGCGCCCAAAGAAATTTAATTGGTCGGGCGATGACGTCACCACTCATCGTCCCCGCCTCTCCTCGGAGGTCTGAGGCTCGGCCTCCAGTTTGCCTCTGGTGGTCACTCCCTCCTTTCGGCGCACAGAATCCGTTCCGGGTCGAGAAAGGCGCAGGAAGTGCCAGGTAACCGCTCCCTCCCTTTTTTTCCCCCTCTATCCCAATAGGGGAGTGGGACTGAGACCCCCTTCTCTTTTCCGCCTTGGAAACTGCGCGCGCTCTATTCCCCCTTCTCCTCCCCTCCCCGGCCGCGAGGCTGAGGGGATTGGCGGTTAGGGTGGAGGGGGGGCGGAGCTTTCGTGACGAATAAGAAGCTAACTTCAGCCTCGTGCCTGTTGTTTTCTTTTTCCCTTGTCAGTGGGCGATTCGGCCTCTCTTCGTTCTGTTTCTCGTCCCCACAATAATGGTCGTTATCTGGGACTTAGCGCTTCGGCCCCCGAACTCCTGGGTCCCTTCCCCGTGCCTTGATGCGGCAGTTCGTCTCCGCTGGGAGCCGCCTGGAGCTTTCGTTTCGGCTTCTTTTCCCTTTAGACAACTTTACAATGGGGAGATATTCTGGGGGGGGGGAACGCCTGTGCGCCCCCCTCTGCTCGAGAGTCTCCCCTCTCACTGCCTGTTCCTCTTTCTACCTTTGAGGAGATGGCCACCTCCCCTTTACTGTTCCAGACTAGCCCTACTGGCCTGCCAACATTTTTTGTCCTTTGAAAACACAAACACACCTACACCCACCCAGGAAGCAGAATCAACCATTTCTATCTGGGAGTGTCGCGTGGCAGGAAGAAATTCACCAGGTGTAGTTTTCTGTTTCTGACCCTCCCATCTGTGTGGAAAGCTCCACCCCGTTGGATTGATGCCTGCCTCTCCAGCATAGGAAATAAAGTGGCCCTTCTGTATTTCATTCTGTATTTCATTTTATTCCATATGTCTGAAGAACTGGACTCGATCCACGAAAGCTCACGCCTGCCTCTCCAGCATAGGAAATAAAGTGCCCCTTCTGTATTTTTGTACAATATTTCATTTTATTCCATATCTCTGAAGAAGTGGACTCGATCCACGAAAGCTCATATTAAACTATAATAATCTTTAAGGTGCCACATGTTTTTTGTCTTTTTTGTTTTTCCTTTTTCCTTTGAATTTTGCCTGATAAAGTGGCAATTTTATTTCAACCTCAAACTGTTCTGTAATGTGGGAGAAAGGGGAGGCCACCCCTTTCTGTTCCTTTTATTAGATTTCCCCCCTATATTCAGTGAAGTGCCACTTAATCTCTCCTCCCCATGCCCACTCTTCATTTTTTCTCTTGAAAAGGATCTCCTTTCTGTTTTACTTTACTGATTGTGAGGCTGTATAGATACCATCCCACTGCCATTTTTTTCACATCTAAGAGCTTCACATTCTCATTTTCTGCAATAATACAAAGCCTAGAGAAAACCTGCTCTATTTCTTCAAAGTCTTCTTGCTTCTACAAGAATCTACTTTGAACAATTTTTGGCTTTTCTCATGCCTCTTCCTGGTCTTGCTCTCTACATTTTACAGGGTCTTTGTTTGATAATCTTTCCTGCGTCTTCCACACCTCCCCCCATATTTTTCTTCACTGCAGAAAATCTGATAGGAAGAAGCATGTCTGTACAGTATCTTCTAATTACTAGTGGCAATAATTCTTCCTCTGGAAACACCCTGTGTCTTTGTCTCTGAGTATCCACCCTCTGTCATCCTCTACTCTACTTGAAAGCCATATCACCTGTTTGTGATGTCTTATATACAGTATCCAGTTTCTGCTCTCCTTTGAGAAAACTGTCATAAAATCCTGCCATATGAATATTAGAAAATAAACTTACTGAAAACTGTGTGTTGGTTTCGGTGGCCAGTTACCCACAAACACCATTTTTAATATATTTTTGGAATTTGATATTGTAAGATCCTGAGCAACTTTCCATTTGACGTGACACGGGTAGTTCTTGGCGGGAGAAGACGTTCCACCAAGTATCAATGAAAGTATTTGATGAAAGTTTCAGAATTTTGGGAACACAGTAAGAGAAGTCTCTGGAGTTTACATATTCCTGCCTAGTGTCAAGGGTGAGATTGGTGGATGTGGGAAGGCATTGGCCAAAATGGTGTTGTTTAGCATAATAAATTGCACTAGGGTAGCCCCATTGATTCAATGGGGATTTCGTGGGTCCCTTACTGTAGCACGGGAGAAGACGTTCCACCAAGTATCAATGAAAGTATTTGATGAAAGTTTCAGAATTTTGGGAACACAGTAAGAGAAAACCATGTTTGTCTCTGGAGTTTACATATTCCTGCCTAGTGTCAAGGGTGAGATTGGTGGATGTGGGGCGGCATTGGCCAAAATGGTGTTGTTTAGTATAATAAATTGCACTAGGGTAGCCCCATTGATTCAATGGGGATTTCGTGGGTCCCTTACTGTAGCATGATTTACTACAATAAGCAACAGGATTTGGGCCATTATTAACAACACCATTTATATAACCACTGGAAATAAGAAAATAATTTATATAAATCTTATGAAGGAGAAACTCGTTGCATTTAAGAATATCTCTAATAAAGTGGAGAAAATCTAGATTCCCCCAAGCTACAAAAACAAACTAATTTTGTGGATGATCTTAAGGCTGTTGCATAAATAAACAAATAAGCTGTTCCGTTCAATGGTTTTGTGGATGATCTTAAGGCTGTTGCATAAATAAACAAATAAGCTGTTCAATGCAATGGTACTTGCTGCAGCTGAGTCTATAAAATACCAATGTAACATATTGGCTATTGGCTTTTACGCCAAAATACCGTAAGTGAAATTGCGTAAGTTGGGTGACAAATTGCAGCTAATTATCAAGGTGCTGATTATATGCCAGTCACAAAGCTAGGCACATGGTTGACATCTTGTTAATCTGTGCAGTTTGTCACAATTTTGCAATTACTTGCTGCAGCTGAGTCTATAAAATACCAATGTAACATATTGGCTATTGGCTTTTACGCCAAAATACCGTAAGTGAAATTGCGTAAGTTGGGTGACAAATTGCAGCTAATTATCAAGGTGCTGATTATATGCCAGTCACAAAGCTAGGCACATGGTTGACATCTTGTTAATCTGTGCAGTTTGTCACAATTTTGCAATGTCACTTATTCTAGTATATATCAGACAAGAAACAGAATTTATTTATTTATATACCACCCATCTGGCAGCCAAGGCCACAAAACAGAAACAAAAGAATTAAAAAGTCGAAAACATTGTGGCATCTTAAAGAGTAACTACTATGCTTGAATATGAACTTTTGAATATGAACTTTTGAAGAAGTCCACTTCTTCAGACATAAGAATAAGACTACATGACAAACAGTTATATGTGGCCCCAAGATAAAAATATAGTGGTTGGTTAGTAGATATAAGTTGCAAATTGTGTAAGTCAGTGTGGCATTTCACAATTAGTACTGCAATGACTTAAGACCCCAGCTTGATATTCCGATCTTTTTCTTTGAAGCTTTGTTCTGTAAAAAGCGACAATGGTTAGTTGGTAAGGGAACCCCAGGCTTTAGAAAGTAAGAAGTCCACTTCTTCAGACATAAGAATAAGACTACATGACAAACAGTTATATGTGGCCCCAAGATAAAAATATAGTGGTTGGTTAGTAGATATAAGTTGCAAATTGTGTAAGTCAGTGTGGCATTTCACAATTAGTACTGCAATGACTTAAGACCCCAGCTTGATATTCCGATCTTTTTCTTTGAAGCTTTGTTCTGTAAAAAGCGACAATGGTTAGTTGGTAAGGGAACCCCAGGCTGTAGAAAGTAACAGTAGAAAGAACATAATCATTTTGGCATTACACATATGATAATGAGTTAAGAATCCCTGACTTTACTTTTAAAGCTTTAAAACTCACATTAAAATATAGAAGTTAGTTTTATTAGGTGCTACCATGTTTTTGTCTTCTTTATTATATCAACCTTGAGCCGGCTACCTGGGATTTGAACCCCACCAGGTCGTGAGCACAGTTTTGGCTGCAGTACAGCGGTTTAAACACTGTGCCACAAGGCTCAGATAGAAGTAGAAAGAACATAATCATTTCGGCATTACACATATGATAATGAGTTAAGAATCCCTGACTTTACTTTTAAAGCTTTAAAACTCACATTAAAATATAGAAGTTAATTTTATAAGGTGTCATCATGTTTTTGTCTTCTTTATTATTGTTATTGTTTTGCTTTTGTTTCTTGTATCATATGCTTGCACAGATTACCACAGCTACCACTTTAAAACCTACTTATTCCAGAGTAAAATCCCAACAAGATTCTGGCTGATATAGCAGTAGCTTGTTCACAAAAGACAGTGAGACAGGAACAATTGTGAATGTTCTGAGAAAGTCGGAGAAATGCAAATTAATGCTCAGTTTCAGTAGCTAGCAATCATGGCTATATGGTACTTCAAGGATCAGAGGCAGGATGCTTCTGAATGCAGGCTGCTGGAAACAGCAACATGGGTTGATGGGTATAGAATACAGAATGAAACTGATGACATAGGCCCTTGTAATCATCTTTCAAAGCTCTTCTTATGGTGGCTTATAAACTGAAGAATTCAAGAGTCCGACCAGGTGATCTGAGACATTTCAGAGTAAGGATGCATATACAGTAATCATTCTGTAGAAATGATACAGATAAAGAAATGCAAGTGTTTGGAGTGTATTGGAAGTGCATAGGTACTTATACACAGACACTATTTGAATTTATAATCTGTTTCTACTAAATGTTGTGGGCTTTCGTTATGGTGTCTTGAAAAATAAATAGAAAAATATTATTTGAGAAAGGCTGTGGTTGCAAAACTGATTTAATATTTTGGTACTCCTGAATCTTTCTGACATCATAAAGTATCTTGATGCCTGCAGATAAGAGCAAAATATGGTGATAGAATGGACTGTACCACCTCGGAATGTTGGTGTAGGAATTACGCTGTCTGCAATTATAAACAATCTCTGCAAAAATTAAGTAAACTCATCATGTATAATAACTTCTCTCTATAGTATGTTTTTTGTTTGCTGAGAGATATGTGTAGGAGCATTTATATTACAGCCCTTCATTTGTGGACTAAGGTGCTACTGTTATCTGCCATTTGCTTTTCCTTAAATTAATACAGTTGTTATTTAAGATACCACTCATGCATTGTCCAGGCTGCTTGATAATAATTGTTGATAGGCTTGTTTTGGCCACCATTCAACATAACCCGGTGCTGAGTTATTAGCTTTGTGCTAACTAAAGTGAACTGCTGGATCACTCAATAGTTTAGGCATCTGGCTGTGGAGCCAGAGGTTGGACTTTTGATTCGGCACTATGCTTCCATAACAAGGGCTGGAATCTCTTCCAGCTCTGTTGTTCTAAGATGATGATGATGAATAGATTTCTGATTTTGTAGCATGTTTCCAAATAATGCTTTTATGGTGAAATCATCCATTTATGGGGAATTGTTATGAAGGAACTTTATTCCAACAGGTCTGTTTTGTTCTATGTATTGCCAGTAACCTGACATCTTGGATCTAGAATCCATTTTGCCAAACTTAGAGACACTGCGCCATCAGTATGGCTCTCCGTGTCTGCAGAGGTACAGGAGCCATGCTGTATACAGTATGTGCTTTGATGGTTCCCAACCTGCGGGTTTGCAGATGTTGTTGAACTACACCTGCTGATTTGTTGACCTATGGACTTCCCCTGTGGGAGCTGAACTCTGTTAATATCTGGATTATATATGAGGGAGATGTTCATTGTGTTGATGGAGAAACTCAGAGGTCAAACCCAGCCACACGCACACATGTGAACACACAGCTGAAGGCTACAAGAATAGAAGATGGAGAAACTGGGCAGTGGTCCTGATTGCTTCGTCTAAGTATGGGGCATCAGCTTTAATATGTTTGCATTATGTTAATTTTTATCAAAAACGCTTGCCTATTTCTAAGGAACAACAATTAGAAATGTGCAAACACAACTGCTGATGGTTCTTACATCAATTACAGTATTGAGTAGAAGAGTACATGGTTTAATATAGATCAACCAAAAGCTAGATGTGCTGGATAAAAGTTCATGCATATTAGGAAAACATAACTATCAAAGCCCTCTATTTATTTATTTTTAATAAAACCTGTAGCAGAAAAAAGTGGCATTTTCTGTTGAAGCATACTTGCATGTAATAGAATTTATGAGCATTGTAACTTGCAGGGATTTTTGCAATTGTATTCCTGCAAAAGAATTCTAATTGCAGGCACATGTGACCATAGTAAGTTACATACTGTATTTTGAAATATGTATCTAGAATGACTCGAAGTGAAATACTGTAATACAAATGTGTGTTAGCTGAGTAGAAAGCTGGCTTAAAAAACCAAGGAAGTCTCTTAGTAGCAGAAGAACTGATTTTGCAACTAATATTAAAAGCAAGGATACCCAGTGTGGTGCAGTAGAAAGAGCAATGGAATCGGACTCTGGGGACCTGGGTTCGATTCCTCCACTGTCATGGAAACTTGCTGGAGGGATGGAACTGGTAAAACCACTCCTTAAACACTTTGCTTGCCTTGAAAATTCAATTAGAGCCACAATAAGTCAGTTCTGACTTGAAGGTATGTAACAACATTGAAAGCAAAGCAATGTTTTTTTTTTCCTAAAATGGAACAAAATGACAGTTCCTTCGAACTGGTAGAAATCCAATAGGCTCCATTTTGGAATTTCAGTCACTATACTGAATTATATTTTCTAATAGCTTCTCTTCAGGTTTTCGGAACGGGGTGTCTCAGTTTTGCATATTTGTAGTGTTGAGCAATGTTACAGCAACAAGCAAGCAAGTGGTGGCCAGTGTGCGTAGCACTTCACTTGTAAGTGGAGCGGGACCATTGCTGGCCTTACCTGAATTACTCAGCTTGTGGAATGTCTGCACCCTTTTCTGCAGGAACTCTAGTGTTCAGATGGCTCGTATTACCCTTGAAGAACTTAATGAAATGAGCGATGAAGTTCTGGATGAAGAGGAGGAGCCGACGGACGGGGAGGAACAGAACAGGCTGTTTGCTCATTGGGAGACAGTAGCCAGCACTCATCAAGTATCACTCCCTCAAGGTAAGAATGTTTATTTCAGGTCAGGTACCTTCAAAACAGGGACTATTCATCTTTCGAACCAGACAGGCACCACCTTCCACCACCTTAATCTCAAGTTATGTTCTCTTCCATACTTCAGGTGTAGGCTATCAATTCTGGCGTTGTGTTTCTCCTCTATGAGCTGGCATGATTGATGACCTCTAAGTTTTGTTTCTGCAATACTGTATTGGTTAAACTTTGGAATATGCTTCACTAGAGAAAATGTTAGCTCGGTGCTGCCAGTCGGTGCTATTATGCCTGGCTCTGAAAAATAATCGTGCAAGTAGTTTCACAGTTGACATGAGGGTCAGCCAGTCAAGATTATGTGAATCCCATTTCTGTTTTAAGCTAGAATAAAAACTTCTTCTTCTGCTCAGTCCTTGGCAAAATGCTTTAGCTGTGTTTGGTCTTGTATAGTCTTGAAATGGTATGTGTCTGTAAACAACCACAGGAAGGTAGCATTTTAAAGACTGAAGTCTTCCAACAACTACTTTTATAGGATACTTCATATTCTCAAATATTCTTCAGTTTCTGTCAGGTTTATAAAGATTTCTTTAATTCTTTAGGCCATATTAACTAATCACTGGAATTTTTTTTTTCAAGGACTCTGTGAATTCAATCAACCATCATGCACTATCATGCTTGTATCAGTTTGTTTCGATTTGTACTTGCATTTAAGAAAATAATGAGTTCAAATCTGGTATAGTAATTACGTTGGTTGCATGAGTGGGATGAATCCATTGAAAGTGGAGTTGGGTTTTCTGTGGTTTGGAACTAACGCCAGCACTAATTTAACAGGAATTACTTCATTTTCTCTTTGGAATTAAGCTTCAGATTAAAAGATAATGGCTAGACTCCTATTGGTGAAATATATGAATACATATAAATTTCATAATGCATGTTGGCAAATTGCTGCTAACTGACAAGGTGCCAGTTTCATTGCAAAGCACGCGCTCAATAGGTGCCCACCTAGCAGTGTGACTTTATTAGTGAGTTTGCCACCATGATTTACCCAATTTAACTTGTGAGTGTATGGACTACCAACAGGATTCTGGCTAGTGTTTCTGTTAGTAAAGTACTTCAAGAACCATGTGTAGGCAAAGGCATACCAAAGGTTGTGTTAAAGTTAGTTTGTTATTTTTCTCAAGGAAAAAAGAAACATATTTTTTTAAAAAAATTAATTTTATGCTGCTTTCCACTGTGGAACATTTCTTAAGTGACTCACCATAAAAAAGTATTAAAAGGTGTTAAAAATTATGTCAACAGATGGGAACCAAAGCAGTAAGCCAATAGATGCAACATAATATGAATTTGATATTACAATAAGATTGTTCACTAGCCAATTCAAAACGTAATGCAGAACTGTGTAATAAAAAAGCAAAAGCAAAATAAGGAGAAGGAAAGATACACTACAAGGGAACATAGAAGCATAGTATGAATACCGTGGTCAGATTAGGCAGCACATTTTTAATGCAGGTAATATGAAGTCAAGTAAGTAGATAGCACAGCTTAAATGGGACACTGTCACCAGGTGTGGCATTCTTTCGCCTTTTGCCCTTTGCTGCCATCTTGATCCAAATCAGGGTGCTCTGAGCCTACTATTTGTTTGGGGTGCATGTACTCCAGTGGGAACTTCCACTGGTAGCCTGCAGGTTCTCCTTTAAAAAGCCAGTCATGCTAATATGTGAAATGCCTCTTATCTAGTTTGGTCGTCAGATTTCTTGAAAGGCACTGTTTTTTCCTATACAGTGGTACCTTGCTAAATGACGACCCTGCTAAACGACGAATCCGCATGACGATGACTTTTTGTGATCGCTATAGTGATTCGCAAAACAGTCATTCCTATGGGGGATTTTCGCTGGACGTCGATTAGGTCCGTGCTTCGCGAACCATTTGTTCGCAGGACGACGATTTTTCCAGCTCCGCAAAATGGCTGCCCTGTGTTTTCCGGACCCATGCTTCGCAGGGCAGCCATTTTTACAGCTGATCGGCGCTCGCAAAATGGCTTCCCTATTGGCGATCTTCATTGGACAACGAGGTATTTTCCCTATTGGAATGCATTAAACCAGGTTTCAATGCATTCCAATGGGGAAAGGGTTTTCGCATGACGATGATTTCTCTAAACAGCGATTTTCCCGGGACGGATTATCGTCGTCATGCAGGGCACCACTGTATGTTCCCAGGTGGCTGTCTCAAAAACCGTTGCCTAAAGAGGGACCAAGGGCAGCAGAGGGAAACTCAAATATTAATATCAGTCCACCCATGCTGTTTCAGGAAGAACTATTGCAATGCCAGCATGTCTTTAGATCTGTAATACGATCTCCTGAAAATCCTGGAGGAAAGTTGCTTGGTTGGATACAATTCTGCAGATTTTTGGAAAGCATTAAGACATGTTTCAGCTTTACTTTTAATTTTTCCCAATTTGTTGTGTTTTGATAGAGATGGCAGGTCCAATTGTACAAATGACACGCCATAATCAGACACGCGAGCCTGTGCCGTATGCCACTTTATCACAACATGAGAAGGTGAGCCTTTGCATATGAGTAAACTTTTGTTTCCTGTGAAGTGCAGAGTGTTGTTCCTAAAGCATATACTCATATGCTTGTTGGTCCTAGTTCTGTGCCGTGTTGAGGACAAAATAGTAGATTGACTAAACTTGTCTGATACGTCTAGGGTTGCCTGACCATGAGTTTCCCCTTTCTGAGATTTTAGAACCTGAGACCTGGGGATGGGGGATACCTTGTGATCTCAAGAGGGCATGCATTTTTGTGACAATTGGAAAAAATATTCTATTTACTTGGAACAGTGGCACAGACAATATGGGTTTCCTATATTAGATCCTAAACAAATGTAACACATTCAACATGCATTCAAACACGTCTGCATTCAGCCAGTTGCATTAAAGGTACCATACACAATAAAACCACATTTTCTCCTCCTCTTGCAAATTTTTCCCTGAGATTTGTTTCCTTGCCTGGAGACCTGGGGAAGCATCCTCGTTCCTTGAAATTTTTGAGAATGAGGAACTCTAGATGTAGTTCTGTTCCCCTGCCTTTTCTTCTTGGAGGATCCAATTAATGTTTTCCCTGCCACTGCAGTTGCTTTTTGTGGGGGAAAGGTGTCATCTCTAAGCGTGTACTGAATCTGTGTCATACAGTGACAGTGCAATCCTGTACATTTGTGTAGAGTTCAAGGGAATTTCATTCCTGGTAACTATTTAGACATGTGCCACCCCTGTTGTTTAAAAAACTATGATTCGGAAGTAAACATGGTAAGTGACCATCTAAGCCACTGGTTCTTAACCTTGGGTTACTCAGGAGTTTTGGACTGTAACTCCCAGAAGCCCTCACCACCAGCTGTCCTGACTGGGGTTTCTGGGAGTTGCAGTTCAAAAGCATCCGAGTAACAAAGGTTAAAAACCACTGATCTAAGCAATGTTTTAATTTCTGGGGAGCTCCAGAATTTTTAAAAAGTGAATAGAAACGTTAATATTAAAGCAGTGATATGTCTCATAAAAAGATGTTCAGTAGAGAAGCATTACAGTACAGTTTATTGTTACGATCCTTAGACCAGTCACAAGCATTGTTTAAAGCTATTTCCTAGCATTACAGTGAACTTGTGAGGATTATCCCAGCTGCCAGTAGTAAGAGAAGCCACGATTATAACCTGAAGGAAAGCATTATATCTATTCTGAATGTGAATAAAGCAAATGATATAAAAACCATTGAAGATCTTTCAACCTTTCACAAGACATAAATCTACTGTCTCTCTTTGTTCTTCTTCTGCTGCTGCTGCCTAGGTAAATGTTGGTTTGGGGATTATGATAGTGAGGCATATGTGGTTTTACACCATCAGGCTTTCTGTTTGAGTTTGTCATGCACATTGCAAATTATGGCACTGAAACAGTTGCAGTTTCTTCTGCAGTGTGGATGGAACTGGGAATTACTTTTCCATTTTATCTTATATGCCAAGACTTTTTCAGTAATTACCACCCTGATTGGTTTGTTGTCAGGTGAGCCTACTGGGCTGTCACACTAATTCTTCTTCCTTCTTGGTTTAGTGTGAGGAGCTAGCATATGAGGAACGGTTGTACCCAGCTGGGAAATGGGCATGCATCACCAGACAAGAACCTAAATATGAGCAGAGTATCTCTATGGGTTTCATGAAATTAATACGGTACATCTGCAAGGAGAACTCCTTAGGTATGTGCGAGTTTCGTAAGTGTCATAACAGACCTGTTACCACTTACAATAGCTGGAGAAACTGAGGACGGAAAAGCATGGGATGACTTTCCTACAGCTCTCTTTCACTGCCTGGTCTGTCTGTGTATGCTTTTCTCTAGATCGTCACTTGGGAATGACAGTGCCAATAATCAATGAAATCCATTTGAACAAGGAGGGCACTGAGTTGCTTCAAGAAGTCCTCACTGCCTATTACCTTCCTGAGGAATTTCAGCCTAACCCACCTCTTCCCTTAGACCCGGACATCCAAATTGTAGAGAGAACAGCACTTCAGGTTATCACCAGGTGGGCCCTGCTTTGTGTATTCTAGGGTTATGTTCTAGGTTCCAGAGGCTTCCAAATAGAATAGGGATGGGTGGATATGCTATTTCATCTTAGCTAGGAAAACGGGAATGCATGAGAGGGAAGATGGAGATGCAAGTCAGCAGAACTCACAGAGAAAGGTAAACACCTTTCAAAAACATGCTGACAGTTGGGGGTCACTGTTCCCAGTCTGTTTTCAAGAAAGGAGTCATCCACAAAAGAATGGGAGAGCAAGTGGGTGCCTGAGTAGCAAATGTTTCTTACTAATGCTAGATCTTTATGGGAAATTGTTTTGTTGTTCACCTCATGTAAAGGGTCTTTTATGGGACAACTACAGAAGAAACGATCCTACGAGAGATTCGCCTTCTCTGGGAGTTGCTGGGCCCCGCAGATAATGTGCTCCGAGAAACCTACTTGGTGGCTGCCTACCAGAACCCCAGTGTCCCTAACCGTCGCAATGAGATCTGGTTTATCCGGCGAGCAGACTGAAAGCACCACGAATCCCTGACAAGATTACAATCTGTCCCGTGACTGGATCCATTTCAGATGGCAGTTCTGGTCTGAAGGAGATTAATGCACATCCCGACTCACCGTAGAATAGATGAGCCACTCCTTTACCCCTGGGTGAATCAAGGAATGATGTTCCTTCTTGTGAGCTCATGGCCAAGGGGAAAAAAAGTAGGTCTCCCAGAGAAGGTTTTCACCCCACTCCTATGGGGGGGGGCTGTAGGGGATTATGGTGATGTAGGTGGAGTTGGTGTTGGAAAGAACAATATATGTTTGCCTCAGTGGGCCCTAATGACACCTAAGCTTAGTTGAATGAAGGTGTATCAGGGGTTGCTGTCGTTGAGCAACCCACACTGCAGGTTGCAAGGATTCGGCCTCGAATCATGAAATTAATTTGGGGAGCAGGTCTAGACACCAGTACCTTCAGCTATGTCTGTAGCTAATGGATGGTAATGGACAGTGCAGATATTATGACCCAAGTTACTTAGCATCCGAGTCTTCTGATGCCACCGTGCGCCACCGTGCATTCCTTTTAGGCATGCACATTGGAGGCTGCTTAGTCAGCTTATTCTCCAACACTGCTGAAGCTCCATCCATGCAGTTTGGGATGGACTGGCTTCCAGCTTTTATAGCTAAAGTAATTACACACCTCCAGGAACAAATGGTAAATCCTTGCCAAGGGCTATGACCCAGAGGAAAATCAGGAAAACGGAGTTCAAGCTCAATGCCTTACAGGTCCTCCTATTCTCCCAAGTGTAGTCGAAGAGCTGTATGCCACCCATTGGCTACCTCCTGCCTATCAGCCAGTGGGGCCTTTTGCCCATTGTTCCCTGATCAGGCAGGGCCAAGGGCTTGGTGTATCTGTAAGATGTCATTGGCAGCATTTTTGTCACGTTGCGTTGAGTTGTACATTGATTGTTTGGTTTTACACTCACAGATGCTGTTGTTCTCTCCTGATGGAGGATGGTAGCACAAAGCAAACCTGAAATAAACTCTAGCTCAAACAATGATGAAGGTTTTTGGTATGGGTCTTTATTGATTCCTGTGAAGTCCAGCTCAGATCACATTTGAGATGACTAGTAAAAAGTACAGTAATTGAGATCCAAGTAATGACCAAATAATGAAGAAGACAACCCCAGCTCAGAACTCGATAGATAAAGTCAGTATAAAGGAGAAATCCACAACACTCTTGCCTGCATAAATTCTTGTGGTTGTGGAAAGTCCTGAGTAATTACCTGAAATGCCTCTGGACTCCTCAGACTGAAAAACATCACTATTAGAGATCTGATGTAATGGAATTCTTTCTCCCTTTCAAGAAAATTTAAGGTGGACATGATGATGTTCTTCCACTCGTTGCAATCTGTGTAACTGCGGCCAAATGCATGTATAGCAGCTAAAGAACTTTTTAAATTCCCACTTTGTAGATCCTGCAAAGATAGTTCACTGCTTTTAGAATCAACAACCCGCATTTCACGCCCTTCAGAAGTTACAGCCTGACACACTAAGCATAAAAAATTGCAGTTATAGAGATCGCTGTCTCATCACTGTCAGAGAGCTAACTTTAATATGGTACAATCTCAAGACAGCTAAAGTAGAAACACTCAAAAATGATACCCCTGGGAGTCAAATGTAAAATATCCTGTGGTTGTCCAAATGTGAACAACTGCAGAATGTATAGCTTTCTTGATAGCTCTTGAAGCTTACAGTGAAAGAGCAGAGTCTCAAGTTTTAAACTGTCCGTTTAAATTCTCTCACATGAGGGTTAAGCCACCATTTTGTAGCGATAAGTCAGTTTCCTGATTATGACTAATCATCCTTCTAGAGAATGTTCTTGCTGAATAAGACACTGTTGAGCAATTGTTTTTGTTTGAATGATCAGAGATCCAACAGGACTAATTGGAGATCCAACGGGAACACAAAAAAGGCCTACAGTTTAAAAAACAAAACAAAACTGGATACCAGTGTGGTGGGTTTCATGGATAGAGTGATATACTAGGACTCGAGGCCTGGGTTCAAATCCCTGCTCAGCCATGGAAAATCACTGCAGGTGTGGAACTGGTAAAACAAATCCTTAATTACCATATTTTCGCATATATAAGATGTCCCCCCTTTTCTAACCCAAAATTAAGAAATCTTAACTTAGCTTTGAGTATTCGGCCTCTGGGCTCAGAACGCTTGATTATGAATCTGAGCATTGCCTACAGGCTCCACCTCCAACAAGGTGTGTTCCAATTGGTTTGTTCAGCATCAGCTGACATCAGTTCCATAAGGCTCGTGATTGGCAGAAGCTAAGTTTCCTGACTGTAGAAAACTAAGCCTCCTGATTGTAGGAAGCCTGTTTGCAGACGCAAGGTACAGGCAGTTTTGTTCTCTCCTCAGCTTATTTCCATGTATAAGATGCCCCTCAATTTTTTTGTAATGATTTTAGGAAAAAGTAGTGTCTTATACATGGAAAAAATATGGTATCTCACATAGCTTGAAGAAAGAAAGAAAGAAAAATTCTCAGAATTCTGCATTCTACACCAAATACAAAATCCTATTCTTTGCATAGATTTGTGGAATACAAAGAGTCCTGCCTATACCCTAGGTGTGCCTGGAATTATTTGAGGCACAACATTTTCTCTAAGTTGTGTAGCTGCATAGGTGAGCAATACTGTGTCCCCCTCCACACAGCGAAGTTCCTCCTCTTCCGTGCACTCACAGTGAGTGTTTTCAGCCCCTTTGGTTTCAATTGTGGCTTAAAATTAGAGGGAATGTAGTTTGAGGGCTTTAATCAGTTTCTACTGAACAATTTTGTGGAGTGAGGGAAGACCCGTATAAGAGCAAATGCATCTGTCCTGAAGAAGGATGACTGGATGGCTCAGTTAGTTGGAGCACCTGGCTGTGGCCAGGGCTGAAGAGTTTGAATCCCCATAGTGCCTGCTCAAGAAGAGCTGTCCTGCATAGCCCTGGCCCAGTTGTACAGTCCTAGTGAACCAGAAAAGGAAGAGACTGGTAAACTACTTTTGGGTACATTATATCTAGGAAACCATGACAAAGATTACCATAAATTGGAGTCAACTTAACAACACATAATCATTATCTTTAAGAAGGGGACTGTGTTTGATTCTCATGGTCCTTAGTAGGTGGAGCTACAGAGGAAGCCACAGAATGTGTGTGTAGGTTTAATCAGAGTAGTTATATTCTTCATAGTGCAGAAGAGCAACCTGATGCTGTGGTGAACATATTAAATGTCCTTGGTGCTCACAGAAAAAAAACAATGACTTAGGGAAATACAGGCTAGTCAGACTCAGCAGCAGAAGAAAACATCAAGCAGTTTCTGTCCATTAATAGTAAAAACATATTGGCTGAAATCCTGTTGTGTAAATTATGCCTGTTTGTGCACACCTTACATTGATGCAAATGGAGTGGAAAAAATCAAATGACAGTTGTTGCTCTTCCTCTTTCCATCCCATGGCTTCCATGCAATTAAAGAGATTACACAGGAGTTGGAAAAGCCTCAAGACAGAAGTAGAAGTTAATTCCTTAAAAAATTGCCCTACTGATGATTTCACCCTTCTACAGGGTAAATTATGCAACAGGACTTTAGCCACTGAAGAATAAATGAAATTGATTAACAGGATAAATATATTAAATACAGTATCATACATTTAAATGATATGTAGTGGTATCCCTGTTTACCCCACAAATAGCGGATGTAAGATATACATAATTTACAGTGTACTCTTCCTTACATCACTTGTTCCAAAACAAATTAAGATAATACAAGATAAATTTTGTCATCAACGCCTTAATTAAAGGGTGCCAGTATGGCACTGTAGATAAAGTTTTGAAGTTGGATAAGGACATGAATATGGGTTTCTCACGTTTCTAATTGTTCTGTATTTGCTTACTTATGAGTAAATACTGTACTACTTTCTCAATGGGATCTGATTTTTATTACATGTGTATGATTGCATATAGTTGTGGGCAGATTTGATTCATTACTTCTTACAATTCATTTTTATAAAAAAATAGGGAGAGGAGGTGTTAAAGATGAATGTAAATTCTTCCCATACATCCACCTTGTATTAGATACATCTAAGGAGATCTATTATTCCCCTATCCTTATTAAATTTAGTTTTTTTTCTATAACTTTATGCCCCTCTTGAACAGTGACATTAATAATATCCCACACTTCTGTCCTTTTTTTTCCCGTTAGGATACAGAATTTTTACAGTCATCCACCCTTTCCTACCCAAACAACACAGAAATATGGGAAAGAAAATTGCATTTCATATATTCCAAAATCCACACTGGGTGATATATTTATTATTCAACCAAAAAGATACAAAATATAAAATCATATGTAATAGGTAACTACTATTGTTAGAAGTGTTTATATATATTTGTTGTTTAGTCATTAAGTCGTGTCCAACTCTTCGTGACCCCATGGACCAGAGCACACCAGGCCCTCCTGTCTTCCACTGCCTCCTGGAGCCTACCGGAGTTTGGTCAAAAATATATTTAGTTGAGTCACTTTTTAAAAAACCCAAAAAAGCAAAATATTTCAGTTTCTGTCATCTTCATTTGATCAGAATAAAAGAGCAGACTTTTGGTCAGAAGAAGAAGTCAGAAGTAGAAATATCTTACTATCATGTTTTATTTTTTCTGTTTTGTCGGTTATTCTTCTAAATATATGTTTTAAGTGATTAACCACATCCTTCTAGGATCTAGAGCAGACTTGTTTGAAGTGCTGTTTGGTGCTTTAAAAAACACCTCTCTCTCTTTATAATTATATATGGCACATAATGTAGAGAAGAACTTGTTGAACAATGTTTGCCCAACTTACCACCAAGGGAACATCAGTGCTTTCTGATATGCATTAGAAAAACTCTGAATAATTATGGCTTCTTGGATCCACCATGTTCCATTGTCTAATGTTTATAAGTTCTTGTTATTTACATACATCACCAACTTGTTTTTGATTTATAACAACACTGTGAATTAATTGCCCCCAGGTAGTCATGTCACAAACATATCTGCACATGGCTTGTAAACTAACTACTGGGTAGCTCAGTGGTTTAGCACACTGGTTCTTAACCTTGGGTTACTCAGGAGTTTTGGACTGCAACTCCCAGAAGCCTTCACCACCAAGTG